TTACTCTCGTAGAATTTGACCATCTTCTTGTAACCCTCGTAAGGTTTGACTCTCTTAAAATCTGATCGTCCTCTTGTGACCTTCGTGATGTTTGACCCTCGTGAAATTTGACCATCCTCTTGTGACTCTCGTGGCGTTCGACACTCGTGCAATTTGATCATCTTTTTGTGACCCTCATGACGTTTGACCGTCAGAAAATTTAACCATCTCCTTATAACCCTCGTGACTTTTGACTCTCGTGAAATTTAACCATCCACTGTTGCTCCCCGTAACGTTTGACCTTCAGAAAATTTGACAATTTCTTTGTGGAACTTGTGTCGTTTGTTGATTTGTGACGTTCGGAGAAAAATTTGGAATGAAGAATAGAATTATTTTCAAGGATGATAGGGTATGACGTCAAAAAAAGTGATAAAAATCTGAATAATTTTTTTTTGTATCAAGTTTACCCTTAAAAAAATTCAGTAAAGGTTTCAAGCACTTTAGAAAGCTTTTGTAGGAGATAATTGAGTTTGAAATTAAGATAGGTTCTTATGGGAAAAAGTGGTAAAACAATTTTATAGGCTTAAAAAAGGTGATAAAAATCTGAAACTTTTTGGGTATACCGGGAAAAAATATTCAAATTTTTTGGATCAATTTTTAGAACCATTAGGAAGCTTTTCGATTTTTAAATAAATTATTTCACCCATCTAGTCACAAAAATTCTCACTCTCGTTCAACGTGGCAACGCCGTAGTGACGTCACGCGGCGGCGTCAAATTGAAATGTGTATCAGTGGTATACCAGCTTACCGAGGTAATAGTTTTACACTTGACACATTCAATTGCGAATAAGGAAGCTAAACCCACTCGCTTCTCCGATGTAATTTTTGATAAACAGAGTACCTCTCCGCACTCTCTGCATTTTTTATTATCACTCAAAGTTTTGATGTCATCGAAACGTCGCCCATGAACAAGTGGAGGTTAGCACTCATCTTGGGGAGACTATTGCTGATTTCTGCATCCATTTTGTTTCTTTTTCTTTTACCTGCTTCCACTTGGCTTAATTTCTGATGATAAATGCTTTCCGTCACACGTTTTCGCTTCGACAACAACATTTTTTTACCATTTTTATCAAATATAATTTTACCCGGATCACTTTACGCCATGACATTTCGACTTACACACATACATATACTCGACTACGCTGAGGGGCCCATGAGTGGATGACAGGCATGCGCACTACGACGCTCCTTGCTACGTTGTCAAATTTAGAGAGTTACTGCTAGTGAAAATTCTCTAGCTGGGGGAATACCGATATTAGCGTAGACGCACAATTTTTTTCGTAAGCCAAAATGGGTTGTAATGCCCTAACATCCTTAATTGAAATTTTAGTGTGTTGGACGCGAGTCGATGTCATTTTTGTTGAGAGTGCATCAACTCCTCTCAATTTCGATGTTTTAACAATTTTAATGAAATTCAATAGTGAGTAGCTCAGGTTATAGAGTTACGAGGGGGAGGTAGGACGATAATCCCACATTGTAATTAACTTCCACTCACACACAAAGAAAAACACATTTTTAGATACAAACATAAAGAAAATATAATCTCTTGAAAGAAAAATGTGGAATATTTACTAGTGAAATGATGGTTGGAGGCATTGAGACCTCATCAAAGACAAAAAGTAGAATTTTACAGGGCAAATGGATCGATAATCCTTTGAGAATCAATAATTTACATCGAATTATACGATCTCGAACTTTTAATTGTAAATTTTACTCGAAATTGTAACAAAATTAACCAAAAACCAAATCAACTCTGATATCAATGATCAGATTTACCAAAATATTTATGAAAAATCTCAAAATCAATCTGAGGGGTCGATTCTAACACCCTCAGCTCATAAAGACGCCAAGATGGACGCTAGATAAAGAGAAGCCACGACAAGGCTATATTTCTCTTATTTTACCCAAAATTAATAATAATTCGGCTCTGTACACCTGATTATTTGCGAGAAACCACCTTCCACCAGACCGAACAGGGACCGGGACAACAAAATAGACTAAATATTACAATGAAAATAACAAATAATAGTGCTGATCTAGCTGACACGTCTATACTGCACGACAGCTAGGAGAAGACTACACGTTCGGGCAGGCCCACTAGGGACGCTGGTTTGAGTAGACGGGACGGGGAAAATCCTTCCCTCCGGTCGTTCCTCACGTCAGGATATCCTGGAGTATCGCTGCTCCGTGGTTGATGGGATTGGATCCTGGGTTGGAAACACCTTGTGCTCCCATTTGAAATGCGTGGCCCTCGTAGAGGGACGCTGTCGTCCAATTCTTTTTTCTAATGGCCTGAACGGAATGGTCTAGATGTTATTTGGCCCCAAGAGATTTTTCTCAGGAGCTCCTCTTCTCGACCCAGTCCGCCGCCGTGGAGTTGTAACCGTTGGAGATGATAAGAATATTAGAATTGGGAAAGAAATTCTTCCTTTCCCGATTCTCATGGGATGAGTGAGGTCTCCTAGAGGCTTGTTAAATTTCAATTCCTTTGAAGGTCTTAGTTTGATGAAAAATAAAAAATTTGATAAACAAAAAAAATGAATTGCGGGTTGACGACTCGTGTCGTCACAGATTAAACTCATGAATTTTGGTTTCTGAGATGCAAATATTTTTTTCAACTGCAAATCGATCCATTTTGTCCCGAACCTTCTATTTGTAATTTCTATAGCCTGGAAGGGATTTGATTTCGTCGCATTGCATAATTTCTTGCGTTCCCCAATCATTTTACCGGCTTTCTCGAGAGTTTTACCGTATATTCAATCCTGTAGAAATTTCGTATAATTGACGGTGAAAAGGAAATTTTTTGGTTCAGCACAGGAAAAATGACAGAGTTCATTCATCTTAGGAACTCTTCCGGGAAAATACCGGTGGCACACCAGATTTTATTCGTACCTTTTTTTCGTATACAAGTACTTTTTTCCAATTTCATTTATTTAATATCCGAGAATGAACATCATGAGTGTCAAGTGCTAGAACTATGAACTAATTAAAGAGACGTTTCTGCTTTCCGGTAATAATCATGGGATTTTAGCACTGTGTGCATACTAAGAAAAAAAAGTTTTTTGAGAAGTGCGTTTTTACCTCTATCAAGAGATTCATAGCAAAAAATTTTTCAAGCGCAAAATAGTTTGCACTGAGAATGGAAAAACTTTCGTCAAAATATTTGATACTTGTTCTGAAGGCAATATTTTTGGGACCCCAGTTTGCTTGATATCAGTACCCGACAGTTCGATTTTCAGGGGATTGTTCTCATTGAAAATCATTAACTATTCCCTACCGAGTGCTATTATCCTCCCCCCCTCCCTATATCTCAAAACAATCAATGGCTATATATTCTATTCAAAATAAAATAAAATGGATGCCCAATTTTATTCGTTGGAGTTTAACCCATATATAAAAAGAAATTTTCAATCGGATGAAAGTTGAGAAACTTGCGGAAAAAATTGGCAACTCGGAAAATGAAGTTTCAGAATAAAACACGGGGTAAACCGGGTTGAATCTTACATGTTCCATGAATTCACATGAATTCATCATGTATCAGAAGTCGGTGGATGGGTCCTTTCAACGACTTAAGATTTTCAAGTTTCCGCACCCCTCCCCTCCCAGAGCCGCTCTTTAAATCACCCGCTTTATGACTCCGAAGAATAATTCCCGTCAACTATTGAGCGAGCACTGGTTGGAGATTTATCAAGTCCAAATGGATTTGAAATCGATTTGGATACTTCATATGGACAATGCGGATTGCTACTACTACGAATTGCGTGCGATAGCTCCGTGGTAACGCGTTAGGTTGTGACTCCGTAGGTTGTAGGTTCGAATCCCCGATAGGAAAATTTAATTTCTATTTATAGGCTACTTAGGTAGGGCTGTGATAGTAATATGCAGAAAATCATGAATTGGACTTATAAACTTAATATTTAACATTTTAGAAGACTTCACTCATATCTTGCATATATATTGCCTATAATTCAAATATATGATTTGAAATATATGTGAAACATATGCTACATACTATGAATTGGAAACTCGCACATATATATCGCATATATATCACATGTATATCGATTATATGATCACATATATATTGCATATATAATCGCATGATTGCAGTATATATAATACATACAATTTTCTCTATATGAAATTCGGCCAAAAACTCTGTATTACACATATATGTAAGATATATGTGACATATATGCGTCTATATGTTCAATATATGTGGCATATATCCACGATACATTTATTTATATATGTTCCGCATACATAATTTTCCGTGCGGGCGGAGAAGGGAGTTTCATTACGTCTTTTGTCTCGGGCGGATTTAAATTTTATACGTATCGTGTGAAGAAACCGGATGGAACCATCGCAGAGGTTATTAAAATAAAAGGTGTCAGGCTACATTACGAGACGCATAAACAGATACATTACGATTCGATTGATGCCCTCGTCGTCAATAAGGTAGAACCTTACCAGATCAACTACAAGGGCATACGACGTACCATGTACCATGACGTCATCACGAAACCGGAGAGCAAGATTATACGGGCAACGGGCCCAAAACGAAGGCTTAATGAGGCCGCTTCAACCCTCCCCTACGGATATAAAAAAAAAGCCGCGTGATCGAACCCGACGATTGAAAAATGAGTACGAATGAAAACTACTTTTGATTTTTTAAGGTAGTGTGTAGGGATTAGATTAAGAATTAGAGTAATTTTTTTGTAGATGTAAACTAGATGTAAGTTTTCAACGCTAGATGTAGTTTTCAGTGTAAAATGTACGATTTTTTTCGTAGATATAAGTTTTTATAAATTCAAGATTTTTTTTCACATGTAAGTTTTTTTTGTAATAATTTTTTTTTCAAAATGTAACAAAAGACGTTCACTTTTTTCATTTTTTCCTAAATACTCATTTTAGAGTGAAGCAAATTTGTTGAGGGGTTTTTTGAAATAAAAAAAGAAAAATAGATCACATTCTTTTATTCAAGAAAACTAAGTCTCAAATAGAATGTAGCGAAGCTACTGATATATTTATTTCGCATTATTATTCGGACATTATAATTCGGACATCCTCGATTCGATGATCTAATACTTTTGTCGCGGGAGGTCACACTCTCGTTCCAGCTCTCATGATGTAAACCAAGTTACATTGCTGTGAATAAATCTTATTCGATATACTACACGAATTCCGAGTGTTATACGTTACAAAACCCATGTATCCCTCACCGAACTCCCCAAAAAATAAATTTTTTTTAAATTCAAAACAATGCGAATGAATTACAGATGTTTTTCAAAAAAAATTTTGTTTTTTTCGCCGCGTCGGGGAGGTGAGTGGCACCTTACTCCCACTCCTCGGGATCCCAATTGTTCGTACTGTGGTTGGGATGATGGGGGCCCACTGAAGAGGTTGTGGATGTCTTATAAATCCTTGATGGGAGATCCTTCAAAGCTGGTCGCATGCATCTGAAAATTAAGAAAACGATTGAAATTTGATTGACAAAAAATCTACGGAAACTGCGACGATCAAGTTTTTCATGAAAACAATCCAGCACGGGAAATTTCTACGGGAGAGAAAGCGACCAAAAATTTCTGTCATAAAAAATTTCTTTCACAAAAAATTTCAACACTGAAAAATTGGACGAAAACCGGAATAGAAAATTTCAAAAACTAAAAAAAAGAGACGATAACCGAATGGAAAATACATATGAACTCCATAAGAGACGTTTAAAGACGAAAAAAATGCACATTTCGGAAAAAATTGAACTAAAAATTTTACGCTGAAAATTTTTAAACAAAAAAAAATTTCTTTCTCACAAAAAAAATGCACGAGAATCGGACTCTAGAAAACTACCCAGAAAATTATGAACAAGAAAACTATGAAACTAAGAAAATTATGAACATTTTTTTTTATGCGAAAAACCGAACAAGAATTTTCACAAAAATATCACTCAAATTATAAATAAAAACTTACCATCCGGTAGGTCCTCTCCACTTCAGTAATGACTGATTCCACTATTTTCAAATTTTTTATCTTTTTGTCGAAATGAAAAATCACACGGAGCACTGTACGAAAAACGGTGGGGACTTGTCACTGGAGAGTATCCTGAAGAATATGAAGTTGTAAATGAGTGTTCCAAGGATCTCGCAGTTTACATATCTCGAATTGTTTATTCTCTTCCTCCTTTTTTTTCCTTTTTTCGCCAGGATCTTTCGTTCCTTCAGCGGTATGTATTTTTTGTCCTCCGTATATTTATCAACATATACACATATGCATTTCTGCCGAAATCTAGGCTTTCGTGTTTCTCTGTAATCCTCACTTGGTGACCGAACTGCGAGATATTTATCGAACAGTTCGACGTCTTGGTCTCTCCAAATTTTATCCATTTTTAGTCGAAAATATTTTTCACGAATGATCCAGAAAAAAATTGACGTTACGTGTATTAGAAAAACATTCACAGTGGTGAGGATAGTATGATAGAGGTGGGGATAATATACATCATATGAAATCCACGGTAGTACATGTGTGGCGCCGATAGTCCATACGCAATACCCCCTTCCCGTGGTCACTAAGAGGTCGATGGAATTTTATCATTGGATTTTATGTTTTTGGGGGTGAGGAATCCGAATATGTTATTTATTTTGTCCTCCCGTCGCGCAATCATTTGTTATAAACAAATTAGTCGCCATTTTTAGTGGATAAATGTTCTTCTGGGAAAACAAAGAGAGATACAGAAAAATTGTTCAAACAAAAGTTATTCCTCTTTATTTCACCAATAAAATGATTTTTAACTCGTCGAAATCGATCCAATACTTCCCGAGATACAGGCTAAAGAGTGAGCGCGGGTGGATACACGTAGGAAAAAATCGTATAGAATCTTTCTATACGGACGGTGTATAGCATTTCTGTAGATTTTTCGTATATGATATTCGGATATTTCTATACGAAAATTTCCTATACGGTTCATTTCTATACGAATTTCTACACGAATTCGTATAGAAATAATCCGTATAGGGAATTTTTGTATAGAAATATCCGAATATCATATACGAAAAACCTATAGAAATTCTATACGCAAATCGTATAGAAACTTTCTATACGATTTTTTCATACGTGTAGACTGCGTGGACGACAGGTGAGTATGGGCGCGGAGCAGTGTATCTAAACGAATAACGTTCATTTGCATACTGCACTGCGCTGAATAAATTTTATAAACATATGATGTTCAACAATGTGTAAATCTCAGATACTCTGCTCCGCGCCCATACTCACCCGTCGTCCGCGCAGTCTATCCACCCGCGCTCACTCTTTAGCCTGTATCTCGGGAAGTATTGGACCGATTTCGACGAGTCAAAAATCTTTTTATTGGTGAAAGAAAGAGGAATAACTTTTGTTGGAACAATTTTTCCGTATCTCTTTGTTTTCCCGGAAGAACATTTATGCAGTAAAAATGGGGACTAATTTGTTTATAACAAATGATTGCGTGACGGGAGTACAAAATAAACAACATATTTGGATTCTTCACCCCCAAAAACATAAAATCCAATGATAAAATTCCATCGATCTCCTAGTGACCACGGGAAGGGGGTATTGCGTATGGACTAAGAGTGAAAACTCACGATTAAAATTTATTGCGCTGCATTCCATAGTTCAGTATGCAACGTACAAACTTCTAGAGAATTCTAGAACTTTCTAGAAAATACTGGAATTTTCTGAAAAAATCCAGAACATTCTCAAGTTTCTAAGAATATTCTCGGGTCTTCGAGAAAATTAGAAAAAATTTTCCAGTTTTATAGCCTTCATTTTTATTTCTACCCTGTTGCATCATAAATTGAAATCTAAACGTAGAAACTTCCCAAAAATTCTAAAACTTTCTGAATAATTCTAAAATTTTCCATTCAAGGGTTTTCCAAAGAAATGAAGAAAATTCTGGAGTATTAAAAAAATCGAGAATAATAACACGTTTAACATAATCTCGATATTCATTTTTTTCTATTTTGCCCGAGCGACGCCGGGGTCCATAACTAGTCAATAATAAAAAATCCTCATTATTGTTGATAAATATGTTTACATACTGTGATTACTCTTCGATCTCGTAATTTAATTTAATACAAAAGAATTGCAAATTCCTCTACAATATCTAATGACTACCGTCTGCACAAATCGAAATTTGCAACTCCTTACAATTATTGTAAAACGTTGAAATTACAAATTTTTGCTTTTTTTGCTTCCGCATAGTAATCGTTCAAATTTAAGTTTTTGATTCTTTGTGTTAAATCGACCTATTATGATCCAAAAAGTCCGAAAATGCAATTTTTCGACCGTGTCCGTACGTATGTGTATATGTTTGTACGTATGTCATAAAACTGTTCTTCAATTGTCCGCTAATGAATCGATGGAATTAAATCATTTTTCTTGCTAAAATGTAGGTAATATAGCTTGAAAAATTTGTTTGAATGTCCTTTTGATCGAGTTCGAAGATGAAGACGATAGTAATAATCGTTATTTTTATTTATCTGAAAATTTTTTTATTTTTTGGGAATCACAATTCCGGGGATATCTTTGGATATCATATCCCCTCCATCGTCACAAAGCATCATAAACTACGAACCCCCCGCCCCCTACATGTGACGTAATATTGGAATGGCCCCTGTAAGTTTTTTGATGGTTTCGTCAAATGTGATGTTTCAAATTCATTCAATCATATATAAATAAAATTTTCCTAATAATATTTCATCGAAGTTTCAAGATGATATAGATAGCATCATTCTTTAATGTGATTAATGCAAATATTTTATCAATTTGATAGAATATTATTAAGCGATACAGGGTGTCCCACAACTGATCTTTTTCTTCAGAGGGTATTGAAGAGGATCATTTTTGGGGATGAAAGTTCCTCTATCGTTTTTTGTTGGATTGCGGGTGTGGACACAATAAATAGTACACGGGTCTTCTTGTTAGAACACTGGTTTATTGGCTACAACACGTCTCTCGTCTCGCGTCTCGCAGTAAAGTGAACTCTCACCAGTTACAACCTGATGGAGAGGACATCGCGCATGCGCAAGATCTAGTTTCCCCATAACGAATATATATTGTTACGTTCCAAGCTGGTACTCCGTTGAACAGATGGCAGGTCCAATGCCCGTGGAGCGCTAAAGCACTCTGCTCCACAAGTGCGGGAATTTTCGAATAAAAATAATTGAACACGAACACCAATTTAATTAGATAATCCAATCGAAACGTTTATATTTACTTTTCAAAACTTAGAAGATATTTTACAACAACACTTTGGGTTTTTAAAACTTGAGAAGACGATAACAATTTCTCTCGAACTTCTCGTATCCACGTATGGGGTGAATCTGCCCTTACTCTTACTCTAAAAATTAGTCTAAGTGTCGAAGACGAAGGGCTCATCTCACAGAAAAGAGTAGGGGACCAATCGTGGCCTTGAATCTAGTGAATAGGGTTGGTCTAACACCCCCGCGATCGCTCGAGCTGCCCCAGCCCCAACTCTCGAGTCTACGTGACTTGAATAAAGGGCCTTACATGTGGTTTTTCGAGAGAGACAGAAAATGCTTGAATTTTACCCGGGGAAAATAAATTGTCTCCAGGGAAAGGTTTTACGACTCGAACGGTTTAATGTCAAGCCAGAATTGCACTCGAAAACTCTATATAAAAAAAAAACAATACAAAAGATCTTTTATTTTTCGATGGCCAGAGCTACGTCGAGAGACTCTTTAGATTTATTATTCGTTTCCTGTTTACGAGTTTCGCGAACTTACTTTCCAAAATTCTATATTTTCTTATTTCCAAAACCGTGGGAATATTTCAACTAGCTTAAAAATAATATTGGACTTATAAAATTATCAGATAAAGATATTTGAATTTCAATGGTATAATCTAGTGGAATAACGGTAGTCATAGGGGCTCTATATGGTAACTAGTGGTTTACGCGACAATATATATCATACGCAAGGGCTTCAGCCCAGTGGGACCAGGAGCTGGCGCCACCTTTCCAACATTTTTCGATCAGCCGATTTTTTTTCTCAAAATAAGTTTGTCTGACTTTATATTTTTCAAAGTCTGTTACTACTTTTTCCAGGGCCGAAAATTATTTTTTTTGTTCATTTTTTTTCCTAATAGTTTCACGCAGTTTATTGCCACATATTCACCCAGCTACGACCACACTTCCCCTTCTTGCCCTCTCGCGCCTCACATATTTTTCAGAACACGAAAACGAAATTATGGAATATATTATTTTCTTCGTTCTTTATCTGTTTTTTAAATGAAGTTCTTTAATGGGAGCGTTCAAATATTACGTCACACAGTTGCGGAGGGGGGGGGGAGGGAGGTCGGTATTTTGCGACGTTTGGGATGAAGGGAGGCGGCAAAGAGGATTGACTAAAGTAGAGGCTCAGATCTCGGGGTTGAAGTGACCCCAAGCCAAAAATAGTTCGACCCCAACGGAGGGATGGCGCCACGGTCGAATAGGTCGGATAGTTTCGGAGGGGAATTTATGCTCTCCTCGTCCTCAACATGTTCTTAATGTTTTTCAGGTGATTCATTTGCTGGCTAATTAATATTAAGGAATTAAACCCAGATGGCGTGATGGAGAATTAAATTCCCCAGNACGATAACAATTTCTCTCGAACTTCTCGTATCCACGTATGGGGTGAATCTGCCCTTACTCTTACTCTAAAAATTAGTCTAAGTGTCGAAGACGAAGGGCTCATCTCACAGAAAAGAGTAGGGGACCAATCGTGGCCTTGAATCTAGTGAATAGGGTTGGTCTAACACCCCCGCGATCGCTCGAGCTGCCCCAGCCCCAACTCTCGAGTCTACGTGACTTGAATAAAGGGCCTTACATGTGGTTTTTCGAGAGAGACAGAAAATGCTTGAATTTTACCCGGGGAAAATAAATTGTCTCCAGGGAAAGGTTTTACGACTCGAACGGTTTAATGTCAAGCCAGAATTGCACTCGAAAACTCTATATANAATCGATCCCCGTTGCATCCCTTAATCTATGTAACAAAAAAATACAAACTTCGACAAAAGTCATGGGCCAGTGAAAAACATAATTTTCTTCTCGGCGCACAGTGAGNAAAGGGCCTTACATGTGGTTTTTCGAGAGAGACAGAAAATGCTTGAATTTTACCCGGGGAAAATAAATTGTCTCCAGGGAAAGGTTTTACGACTCGAACGGTTTAATGTCAAGCCAGAATTGCACTCGAAAACTCTATATAAAAAAAAAACAATACAAAAGATCTTTTATTTTTCGATGGCCAGAGCTACGTCGAGAGACTCTTTAGATTTATTATTCGTTTCCTGTTTACGAGTTTCGCGAACTTACTTTCCAAAATTCTAT